TGTCATATCGATACGCACACGTCGCGTCGCGCGAAGCGTCTATCTCTTGAAGGATCTTGTCTTACTTCTGACTTACTATCGTCGCACACTCACTCGTCACTCTGTCACATCTGCTGAAATTACCCGCAAGAGTCGTCGACTCGTCGGAAAAGATATCCCATGCACTTGAGAGTACCGTATATAACACCGTATATAACACCGTAGAACACAGTACGGGTTCAGGCTAAATCGGGGTCGCGAGTCGACCCCGTCAGGACCCCGAAGGAAACCGCGGATTCACCACGACGATGACGATGACGACGACGACGTCAGGCCGATCGCGCGGCTCGCTCGGCGCGCATCAAGCCGAGCGCGGTGTAACATCCTTCGCGTAACTGCGGTCGGGAACAATTGACCGAGGCAACAACACCTGACGCGCGTGGGCGATCCACGTGGACGTGAGGCCGGCCCCTTTCGCTGCCAGGTGGTATACAAGAAAGAGAAAGAGAGGGAGAGACACGCAGCGGCTACGACACTCTACGTCAGCCGGTCGCGTGGGAGCCGGGGAGAGAACATCGAGGAGACGTTGGCCTCTTTGTTCGTCGTCCTGGCGTTGGCCTCTTTTCGTCCTCGTCAGCGCGAGTGCACCTCGGAAGAGGTGTCCTCCCGTACTATTGTTCCGTGTACTTTGTGTGTCTCACATGTGCTGAATGCAGCGATTTCGAGTGAGGGTTACTTGATAAATGGCGCGATAAGATTGCGCTGCTCGGTGCCGATAAGGCAAAAGTCAGGCGGCTGCCTGGTGTTTTATGGTAAACGCGCGCGCGGCGACAATAGCGAACGGCGACAATGCCTGAGGACACTCTGCTGAGAGATTCGTGCGCGATTCCTCACGACGGATGTAGCACGATCGTGTTGTGAGTATTCTGGGGACGAACGTTCGATGACGATAGGATGAGAATTGGCCGAGGTGTATAGCGCCGAATGGATGTCTCCTTGTGTCGCTTGGATCTTTCAGTAAATATAATAAATTAGTTAATCGTGCAGAAAAGAAGGTCATACGGATTGAGATAGCGATAGTATGACGGAAACTAATTATAAGAATCGACTTGATAAAACGCGCGTCACTCATCAGACTATCCTTGACTCTTCGGTCGACGTCTATCGTGTCGACGGGGCGTCCTTGGATACCGTGTTCCGTTGACATCATTAACCTTCAGATCAATCTCGTTTAACTATTCCGACAAGAAGGAGAGGGGGAAGAGAGAGAGAGAGAGAGAGAGAGAGAGAGAGAGAGAGAGAGAGAGAGAGAGAGAGAGAGATAGGATAGTTGGAGGGAGAGAGAGAGAGAAGTTTTCCCATCACGATTGCTTATTCCATTACTCGCAGGATTTAATAATGATCGAATGTTGACAATTCACGTCGCGCGTCTGTCAGAAGAGCGAACAACTGATTGTCAAGTGACTTTGCCAGAGTACACAAATATTAACCGACAATGCAACGTCGCCGGCTTGTATTTACAACGAGAGGGAAAAGTGACACGAGATGGGCGCAACGTATGTTATAAATGTCGGCCGGCGTATTTATGAACGGTCGGAAATCCTTTGTTTGGATAAGAGAAAGAAAAAATAAAGAGGAGGACAGGAAGAGAAAGAGAAGGAGAAAGAAGAAGAAGAGAAAGACTATCGTATCGATGGTACAGAGTGGCGAACAATGACTTGTCCGTTATTTCGTGCACGATAAAAGAAAATATTCGACTAAGCGTAAGATTGTTAAATTTTATCTTTCTGTTAACTTTCTTCTAGTTATTAAGATTATAAGGAGATTAATAGGAGATTCGTTAGCAACAAAAAGGAAAATGTCACGAGAATTGTCGCAACATTTCTCACTCGTCGGTCGTGTTGAACGTCATCATTTCGTCGCGGAACGATCGGCGGCACAAGAGATATGGCTTTTCGTTATCTCAGTGTTAGGAACCGTCTAGAATCGCGGTTAATTTTGAGATCATATATTTACCAAAAAGTTCAATGTACTGTCCAATGTCGTAGATAACGAGAAAGACAACACTATGGTCTGCATCTTACATAACAAAAACCTTGAGCAGTGGTCCGAATTGCTGGATTTCAATAAAGGTGTATTCTCCTTGGCACTCATTCACGTATTACAAATTCGCTGGATGTGACAAATACTAATGGGGAAAGTGTCGTGTTTGGCTATGTTTATATACGATACTCGACAATCTTCGTTGTTTCGGCTCGGCTCGTAACGTTCGCACGAGCGAACATTTTACAAATCACTCTTCGCTCCGAGTGCGTAACAAAGACAGCCATGACGGACAATTATGCGCGCGACTATTTTGATCGCTTGCGCTTTCACTGCGGTGTGCTGTGTGCAAGTAAATCTTATAGCCGACGTTATACGAAGAAAAAAATTTTCTGAAAGAAATTAACACCGTGTACTCTTAGAAAGTACCACATTAGCTTGCCCAGATACATACTCATATTACTAAAAAATATTTGAAGGTGCTACGGAAAACTATTTCATACATAATAAAAGTTTTCACTTTGTAAAGTTGAGAAAATATCTGGACAAGCTATTCATTGTTTAATATATAAAAAATATAGACCTCAGTATGAATATATTTCCATTACGCGATATAGTATGGTATATTATTCGGTAAAAATTTTCTCCGCTAAAAAGTATTATAATAAAACTATGAAAATGGATATTTTTCTTTTCGTCCATTTGCACATAATACAAACATGTATACGTAATCGCACGACCTACTACATACACTTTCCGTCAATTGAATTCTTCAGATATTCTTCGATTCTCTATCGTTCTACCTCACCGATGTTCGCGGTTTACGCAGAAATTGCATTCGAGATCTTGCGATCGACGCACGCGAATCAATCGACGCTGGATTAATCCGGCCGATCAAACACTCGCGTGGATATTTGTTGATATTATTTCCGTCGGTTGAACGAATGATCGAATGTAAAGTAAGCACCACATGTTATGCAATTCTTAGTGTTCGTCCACATCCTATTGGTGCAATCGATATGCCACGCGCGGCTCAGCGTTTCTCCACGTGGACGACGACATGGATACAAGCGCTAATTAGACCCCAAATACGTTCATTAGGGTAATTGAATTTTTCAATATTGTGTATTGCTTGGCTCACGTGATTGTTATTCACTATTCGTGCATGTCGTAAATGCTGATTCAGTCGTGAGATACAAACGTCGACAAACGAAGAATCCATTATTGTAATCACGTGCTTCATATTTATTGCACCTACATTCAAGTAATAAAAAATCAGAACATATATTGAAAATGTCGCAACTTATTATTTATAATTATATCACGTAGCAAAAATAACGTCAATTTTGTCTAATGATGAAACATACTTCATACTGTGACATTATAAATTAAATTATCTTGTTTAAAAAAAATAGAAATATGCTGTTCGGATTAAAAATGCGATTGGCAGAGAATATGAAACACGGATTATTCGCTGGTCGTGATTAGGACGTCACGTGACGCAATATATACACGACAGTGTATGATACGAACGAAACTGATAATCACGTGCTGGGGCTCTTGTTTCACACATCGAATGTCGGCTGATCGGCCCACTAATTGGAAACATGATAATAACTTACCGATTAAGAAGACCGTTCCCGCGGGAGGTCCAACGTCGTCATGTATAATGTAGCCGCTTTCTTTGTCTCTTGTCGTACCTGAAACATCGGAAGTATCATCTATCAAAATATTGTTACACTATTTGAACGCAGCTCCTACTTTGACAATCTGTGCGCAAACAATTTACGGTAATGCGATACTAAAAGTCATTCTACAATACGTGTTGTAAGTTGTAAGCCGTAAGAATTGGCGAATCACAGTCGATTATTACAAAAATAATCGGCTATAATTGGTCAGTTCTTACGACTTACAACTTACGACACGTATTGTAGAATGACCTTAAATCGTGATTACTACTCGAATTAATTTAGTCCCTCACTCTCTCCCCTTTCCCCTCTCTCTTTTTTTTATGGTTCATGCGCAAATATCCTCCGAAAAACAGTTCTCGATAAAAGTTTAAATTAAATCCTCGATGGAATATGCATAACCGAAATATAATAAAAATGTAACTAATATTCGATCTGTGGTATATCGTGGATTAAACACCACCCCTAGCTCTTTAATTTGCAGCAGTATCTTGAGTTATATGTTTACCGCTCGGTTAAAAGTGATTTATCATCGAGATATCAGGTTACATTTATTTTATTCCTTACACAACATCTCGATTCGATCAGCACTTATCGTTCATCTCTGATCTGAATATTTGTTTAAAAAAATGAACATTTGTCAAAAACATAAAGGCAAACATGCGTGCGTGCGACGGAGAATGCACACATATACACGTATGCACGCGTACACGTATATCGAATCAACGCGATCCCGCGATCACAAAGGCATCGTCGCGAAATGGTGATTCTAACCTGATCTTACCTGGGAGGATTCCGTTGTCCTCGAGATTCTCCGTTCTGCGTGTGTGTGTAGCCGGCTGCCTAACGTCACCCGCGCGCATTACGTAAACACCATTTTTGCCCGCGATTACATCTTACTGGCGTCGCAAGGTCGCATAAACTGGAAAACAACACACGCACGATAAAGATTTCACAGAACGCGACGTCTCCGCCTTTTCGCGTGCGTCCTGTCTATCCCTTCCATTCGCGTCACCGTCGACCGCTTGGCGGCGCGCGGCACGTTTCGATCAGCTGATTGCAACGCACGTGCGCGTTAAATTCCGCACTTTACTCCCCTTCCGCGCTTTCTACACTTTACACGTTTAATACATTACACCTTTTAAACGCGACAGTAATTAAAAAAAAGCCCTATTCTCTATATTATTTAATGTGCTATATATTTTAAAAATAAATGGATGGGTATGCCTCGCGGCTAGAAAAAAATTGGAGAATTGTAATAAAATGTGGATGAAAACAGGTTCATTGTCGATAGATTTTGACAGGTTGCTGAACCTTGGGTCTGATTGTTTTCTCGTCTTTCTTCCTCTAAAACGAACGTGTCTTTGTTTTACTTCACGCACGTGAAGATTAGAGTTTATCTGTTGTAATTATATACTTTCTACACTTCTCGTCTTTGTCTCTCCAAAACATAACAAAATACTTCATTCATATCATATGAGAAGAGTGCAAGTATTGAGTAAGAAAGTGCAATAATTAAAAATTGTCATACGTATGTGCAATGTTGCACATAACCTGTTAAGTTATATCTACTACGTTGAATCTTAAAAATAATAAGAAAGTTTTTTATTTACAGACAAAGTGTAAAATGTCAACAATGCAAACGTTACCGCAAAAAAGATATTATAGACAACGTGCTCACTCGAATCCGATAGCCGATCATTGCTTGGAGTAGTGAGTAAATCAACAATGTTTACAATCTTTTTCATAAACTTCTGTCTAAAGAAAATTATGATTTAATGATTCAAAGTAAAAACTAGGAATAGGAAGTCAAGACTTTCATTCATCTTTCTCTTCTCTTCCAAATTAAATTGATTAAAAAAAGTAAAATTTGCAATACTTTTAATACATACTTACATATTGCAGTCCTATAAAACCAGACTTGATGGATTGGAACACTTTGTATCCAGAATATTTTGATGCAGATAATAAACAAGAAACACAGAAATGTGTAGAGTTTGTAGATATTGGTTGTGGTTACGGAGGTCTGCTAGGTAATTTATCTCTTGATATTTCTGGAAAATAAAATAAAAATGGAATAAATATAAAAATAAATTTTAAACTTGAATAAAAAATCGATTTTTAGTTACCTTATCGCCAATGTTTCCTGATAGTTTGATACTTGGTATGGAAATTCGAATAAAGGTTGCAGACTATGTTAGAGATCGTATTGCTGCACTACGTTGGCAAAGTCCAGGCCAATACCAGAATATCGCTTGCCTAAGATCAAACGCGATGAAGTATCTGCCGAATTATTTTCACAAAGGACAGGTAAAGGAGTTTCCCATGATTGGCTTCTTATCTAATAATATAGTGACCTAATTTATATTAATTTCTAATTTTATTTCGTATAGCTAAAGAAGATGTTTTTCCTGTATCCAGATCCTCACTTTAAGAAGTCCAAACATAAATGGAGGATAATAAACAAGTCACTGTTAGCGGAATACGCTTATCTGTTAGCCGAAGGAGTAAGTATCTCTTACCTTATCACACCACAGTTTTAGAAACTAATATCAATTATTACACAGGCTTTTGTATATACTATAACAGACGTGAATGAGTTGCATAAGTGGATAGTTCAACATTTTCAAGAGCACCCGTTGTTTGAAGAAGTTGCTAAAGAGGACTTGGTAAATACGACCCCTCTTTATTTGTTTAATATGTGCATATGTTAACAAATTTTCTTAACACAGGATGCAGACCCTATAGTAGAGAAATTGTACGAAAGCACCGAAGAAGGCCAGAAAGTAACGAGAAACAAAGGAGATAAATTTTTGGCTATGTTCAGGAGGATCGCGGATCCTTACGTTGTAACAAATAGCTAGCAGTTATATCAGCGACTGTATATAGCTGTATATACACGTTAATACACGTTGTCGTAAAAGGATATTCTCGCTATTGACACTGATTTTGGTATTTCAACTTGATGTCCTATATCGTGATGCCATAATCGTGTCACTAAAATGAGAGAATTATAAACATTGAGTAAGTTCATCACTTACTATTGTCTCTCAGAAATAAAATATTTTCTAATACCTCTATGAATTGTCTTTTTCCTGTTCATACCCGATATTATGTTCAGATAGCTTGTATGTCTGATATCTGTATGCTGAATTAAATGAGTGGCCTCCAATGCAAATTCTTCGTGCACTATGACAAACAGCATCTAAAAATAAAATTAATGTTATGTGAATATCTCGTTAACATTGGAGCATAATGATTTTACTTTCTCTAATATCCGATTGATTAACGCCCGTGGTGGCGATATATATGATCTTCGTATCAGTCTTTTTTTTTTGTGTAAATTCATGGCGAATTGCGAATAAAATAAACCTGATTGGTCTTGTAGAATGTCTCGCATCAGATTTTTGAACAGTTTACTATTGATTATTTCCCTGCAACGCGAAATATTAGTAATATATATTAGTAATAATAATAGTTAACAAATTAATTTTCATAAATAGATAACAAATGTTTCATTTTATTGTAGTTACAATTGTAAAATTAGCGGACTCTACCATAGTAATCCTTCTAGAATAAATGAGGATCGACTAATATCTTCCTTCTTGAATGCCGTCTCCTGTTTCTGGTTCTCCTCGATGCATATTGTATACGGTGGTGCGCTTCTTAATTCTTCCATTAGATCAACTTTCAAAAATTTATCTTCTACACTGTAGATAGAACAACGGACCGACATAGCTTTGTAAAAAGATTGGGGCTTCCCTAGGATTTCTATCGTCGGCTTCTAAAAATAGATAGAACACTTCATTGCACTAAAATTTAAGACTCATATCTTTTCAGTTTCATTCACCGGGACGCTGATGCCTTTTTCCGTGAGAATAAACTGATCCTCCAATTCCCGAGATAAATCTGCATGCTTGTTGACGCTTCGCTGATAGTCCCGTCTTTGACTGGTATTGATAAACTCGCATAGCACGTTAACATCGATAACGCAGGGACATCCTCCGGTACTTATAGTTACATGAAAAGTTTGAGTCGCCATCGGTTGTATCAAGCCTTTACGTGGGTAAATTTCCACGTAAATGATCCTAGGAATCTCAAGTCTGAAGCAGAGAAACAATTTAAATTAACCAAGTATATAGGAATTCATTTTTTCAAGATATATTTCATAAGATTCAGCGCAAACCTTTTCCACTCGTAAGCGAGCACGTCGTACTGCGAATTATTGTGCAGCATGATCATCTTCACTACATGACTGTGCGTAGCCATATGCGATATGTCTATGCAATAAGTGCTCAAGTATACAGGAATGTCGAAAACTCCGGAACTACTATTGGAAGAGACGTACGAAACATAGGAAGGCATGTGTTCGCCGACCGTCGGTGCTTTATGCGGCAGGGAAGATTCGCCTTCCAGCGTCAGTTCTTCCTTTTCGTCACCCAAGCTTAAGAACAACTTTGCCTTTACGAATAAGAAAAAAAGACACGGTACCATCATCGATTCGGAAGTCAAGTTCCGAAGGCGACAAAAAATATCGATCTCTTTCTCGTTAAATCTGTTCATTGTGCAAACACCTCAAAGACGCCGAATCGTCGCGGCTGAAATTTCAGAAGGATCGGGACAGGAGACAGCGGACTCGCGATTCCGCGCGGTGTCGCACAGGAAAAGACCTCGCAACAGTATCTCTGATTTGCCTCGCGCATCGCGCTGTGATTCACGGAGAACGGGACGTTGTGGTTCGTACCGTTGTACAGCCAGCACACCTGAACATTTCCGTGAAATTAGGAACATGATTGCAAGTTATTAATTACAAGCTGTTAACTGCATTCGAAAGTAAACGACAACCTGGTAGACCGGGTCTTTATCACCAAGATAGATATGCTGGAACTTGAACCGCTTGCCATTCAGAAGATGGAGCTTCCTCGCAGATTCGGACAGACCCTCGATCGCCATAATCAGGAAAATGTGACGGTCATCTCCAAGATCCACGTCCCACTTCGCCTCGGTTCGTCCTAACAGTGCGTAACGCACTTCTAGATTTATCCAGGCATCTTCTCCTTGCTGCGCGTTTCGTGTCGTTCATGAAGCATTCAGTCTTTAGAAACCGATGCGGTGATATAAGATGCCGAGGATTATACTTGAAGATTTCCCGTTTTCGGCTGCATAGAGCACACTTTCCTGTGCCAACAGTCGTACTGTGCGCGTTGGAACGAGAGCGCTTGGATTCTCATGACGGGTCGGCAAGAGCACAGCTGCACTCTTTTGATATTCCAAGAAGCGGCCACCGCTTTAGCGTTTATCAGGAGCAATTTTACAATAACAGAACTTTCTTGTAAAACCATCGGCGGGAAATTGATGTGCAGCGTCTCCGATGTGCCGGGTTGCAAATGTTCGAACAACTTGTTGAGCCTGCACACACATGAGAAGGAGATCAATGAGTCTTGCAGTTGCGCAGGGAAAATTATCACGATTAGAATAACAACACGATATTTCACGCACGTGTTTATCTTCATCAGCTTCCAGAGAGAAGCTTTGCTCGTATCCGGACATGGCCCGTAACACTGTAGATCCTTCACCTATCCGTTACAACAATTACAATTCCCACAGTTACTTCCCACTCTTGACTGTATTATTAAGAAATAGCATGTCCTGTATTGAAATAATGCTACACACTATATATACCTTCAAAGTAGGCAATACACACAAACAGCGCAGCTTACAAATATTTCTCGGTGTTTGATATGGAATTAGCGCGCTTGTGCGAAGACTCGTTCTCACAAAGTATCGAACGAACAGTTCGTAATAGCCAGGAGCGGTGGGTGTGATAGAAACGGTGATGGTTTCGCTTTGTCCGGCGGGAACGGCGCCCGTGGACAGACGTATTTTCACATCCTGCTCCGCGTTTCCAACCGGCCAATTGCAATGACTGCACGTCATCTTGTAAAAGACTGTCACGGGACTCGAGTTGAATACGAGGAGGCTCAGTTCCTTCGTCGTCTTGTACGCTTGAACTCCAAAATTCAGTTCGTCCGGCACTGACTGCGGTTACCGTGCGGTTACAGTGCGTTATTCGAGCAATGCAATCGTTAATATGCACACATCTATCATCATCAGTCTAACAAGTTACTTCGAGAAAGCCGACTTCGCATCTTCCTATCACACGCAACGCTGTGGAAACGCTCGCACCGACGGGAATTTCGTCTTCCAGTACGGTTAAAACGCAGTCTACGTTGAAATCGTAATTCCCGATTTTCGCGGGACAAAATTCCCACTCGTGAATAAGAGTATCGTTTGAGAAAATTTCTCCATTTGCGTTTGGAATCCGAAGCTCGGATGTCACATTAACAAACTCATATCTGAAATATTTATGTCAATCGGAGGAAGTATTAATACAAAAGTATTAATTACAAACTGAAACGATCTACTCGATAAGATCCAACATGTCGGCAAAACCGTTATATTGCTAATTAAAATTGTCGCTTTACGTGGCCCGTTCTTATTTCATGCGATCTTAACACGCAACTTTCACACACGTGGAGGCCGATGTATTTCACATCGAAGCTCGTAATATTCGCATCATAGCATCAAACGCATAGATTTACCGTATCTTGTGACGAGTGACGTTTCGCATAGAGAATTGCTGTGGCAATCGGCAGCTGAGGAAACACGAAGCGAATTTCAGGACATTCCGATCGCCGAGGGCGACTTCAGCGTGTTCCGTGAGCCCTCGAAAATCAATGAAGCATTCCGATTTGACGTTTCCGTTGAAACGTATCGCCCAACGCTCCGTGTAGACGCGTTCGTTATCGCCTTCAGGCAACATCCCGACCACGACGATCTGATAATCTCTGCGGGACATCATAATTAATTCGACAATTGGCAGAGACTAAATATAAAGTATATATTGCAAGTAATACTGATATATTATGCCCATCATCGGTTTCACGACGAAATGGCTCGATTCCGGCGGTACAAAACAGTACATCAGCGGCAGATGGCCGAATCTTTTGATCACGAATGTGGTGTAAACCGGAAACGACGGCACACAGGGCGGCATTTTTACTACATGCGGTATTTCATATTGAGGGATCCAACCGTCGGAGCAAGCGGGAAAAGAGTGACCTATTATACAAGACGATTGATCTCGCTGTCAAATTAGATATAACCGCGACGTTACGTAAAGATGAAGTAAAGAAATACGTAAAAATATGCATACCTATTAATCGCACGGACATCGTCGCGGGGAATATAAATGTTTCCTTGCGACCATCGTTTTCTCGCTGCATCGAGAAAACGTAACCGACCAGTTCCGACGTGAATAAATTACTACTATTTTTGTTGGGATCGAACACTACTTCAAATAAAGCTGTCTGCTTTGCCCGTACTACCACAGTACCGGGTATGATGCGGAAAATGTCTTCAACATCTACAATGTAACGACGACAATTATTAATAGAAAGATTGCTATTAATCATTCGCGTTGGAATCGTGCACACACACACACACACACATTCCGAACGTTCTATTATTTACAAGCAAAAATCGTCCATCACGTTCAAGTATTCAATCTAATACCAGCTTTTGTTCTCTCTTTTCTTCTCTCACTTTCTGTGTGCGAATTTAAGTAAATATCCTGCGCGAACGTCGCTTAAATGCCAACGCAAAGGTTCAAAAGGTTAGACGCTGATTATTGGTTGATGATGAACCTTGGTTCCAACTGATAAATACGTCGGATCGGCTGTGATTGGTGAGACACAAGGTTTCCGGAATCTGTTGCGCAGCGTCCTTCGCTGTCGCACTGGCTTGACCAAAGTCAATACAGCTCTTCGACAAAGAGACCGCAGGTAGATCTTGCGTGGTGACGATAATATCGCTCATGTATCCTTCAAAGCCATTTTTTAATCTCGTGGGATAATTAAATTGTTCTTGAACGTCCGCGTCTTTACGTAATGCCGTGCCACAGTAGCCGTACAGCTCCACGATAATCGGTTTCTGCATTTCGAAAAAAATTGTCAGCTTTCATCATTCTTTTTATAATCTTGGCGCATAATTAATCCGTTAAATATTCATATCTGAATTCAGGTAGCAAATTATTCAGAATAGTAAACAGATGACAGCATCTTGAAAAATATGTTGTGTTTGATAAATAAATCTCAAGTTTCCCAATTTACATGATGCAAAATCAAGCATGGCAAGCGGCATGAGTAGACCCCATTTTGCCGAGGCGCAAAAGTGATCGTCACGTATGAGTGAGATCGTGGCCCGACGCATCCGTGCGTTGCGTTCACAGTGAACGACCTTTGAACCTGATCGGTGTCGAACATAAAAGTCGCTATGGCTTCAGAATCGTTAACGAGCCTGATACGCTTCTTTGCCTCGGCGCTTTCGCTCGTACACATCATGACTAATCTCGTCGTTGAAATCGAAATTACCGATCCTGCATATATTATTATTTGTACATCACACGTGATAAAAATTTATCAGAAGCATATCATTATGACGATATACATAATAAATGGCTTACAGCTGTGTAATTTGCTTAATATAGTCCAGCAAAATATATTAACTTTTTAAAAAATTGATATTTATAATTTTTACTTTTTCAACTTTGTCTTTGAATAATAAAATAGAATTGTGCTTATTATGATAATTAATTAACCCAGCAAACACAATATTACATGTAACGTGCATGTTAGTTGTAATTTCCTACTCAACAATATAACTGTTACATAACACATGTGTTATATAACAGTTATATTGTTGAGTAGGAAATTACAACTAACATGCACGTTACATGTAATATTGTGTTTACTGGGAAAGTATATCCAAGTTAACTGCTTTTGAAAAAAAGAAAACAAGTAATCAGTCTTAGAGTTTGGAATTTGATAAATCACTCGATAAATTATTTTTAGAAAATATGTAGCGATTAAAAGATACAATGTTCATACCAATACACATGCCATAAACTTTAATTTCTACACGGTTGTGACTGGAATCCACAATCGTAAAGTAATCTACGTTTACTGAGGACGGCACGAACGGCCGGTAACATATCTTGCAGTTGTATACTTTGCCGGGAAGCAATGTCCATGAATAGCTGTTTAATTCGAACACATGGTCCAAGGGACTAGTAGTAATGTCCCTTCGGGCCTCGTATACCTGCTCCACCTGTAGGAGAGGTTAAAGTTTGTAGCTTTTCATTTCCGATCAACTCGTTCATCGTGCAAGATTATTCCGACTCTCGAATTGATTTGTGCATCAACATAAGATAATTCGAATCGCGATGAGAGGAATCTGACATGTACTAACGCAATTCTCGTTGACTATTTCTATCCATTTTACAGCAACGGCGCCCACATGCACTCTACCAAAGTCTACATGAATCTCTCTGCCTGGTGTTTCACGATACGTGTGCATCTTTTGCATCTGTTTCGGTTATCCTTTTCAATTCTGTTATTCTATTATTTCTCTTATCAAACGTGTCCGAATTAAAAATATCTCGCAATCTCATCAATCACACCGTTGCGAAAAAAAAGAAGTACACACCGCTGAGATGAAACAATTGGATAACCGTCGATTTCGTGCGTCGATCCCGTGCGGTCGATAACGATCGATATCTCGAATCCTAGACGTCATCGCCCGATGACGTACTATGACGTACTAGCGCTTCTTCCAGCTGCACTTCCCGCACTCTCCTTTGATCGTCGTCTTTATTCTCCCACCATTCAACGACCGATTATACGCTTGTTTAATTTATAGACAACGGAAAGGGCAACTGAAGGATTGCACTTTCGGTGCAGTGAAGAGGAGCCGATAGCAGCCGACAGATGTCGAGTGACGTCGGACTGAATCGTTCGTCGCTCCCCTGAAGGGTGATGCACCTTTGCGGTAACGACGACGCAGAATCGGCTCCGGCCGCTCAATTCTACGAAAAGAATTCCGCAGGTTCAGTGCGGAGCAAACGACGCTTCGTCATCGCTGATTCTGGTTTGGCCGCGCAGTTCTTCGCGCGTGTCTTCTATATGGCTTTGTGACACGGTTTCATTTTGTTATGAAAATGGCCTATCAGCTGGACGTTTATCTGCTGATCCTGCTATCGAGCATGGTCGCGCACCTCTGTTGGTGCGTGCGTTATAACAATTACTATGAGTGTAAGTATCCACGGAATCATACACGAGATCTCGTGTTTGTTCATAACCTTATTTTCGTGTCCCGGTTTCAGATGGTCTTGAGAACGAGAAGATCTGCCACTCGATGAACAGAGGACATACGCACGACATACGCAATGTCACCGCGGTGATCGTCGGGTCCAAGCACTTGTTCGATCGGTGGATCGTTAATTACGATCGCCATTGCAAATTTACCTTCAAAACTGCCAAGGAGGAGGGTCTCATTGCTATTATTCACAACATGTTTTTCCGTCTCAACGGTACCAATTGCCTGGATTATGTACGGGTGAGTTATAGATGATTCATACGTGTGAGTACTGTGTTAACTGGTTAATCTTCTCCAGTATTGAAAACTGCTGATATATCTGTACTGAGAAAGCTTTAGCTTCTAGGGCGATATTTATAATTGGTTTTTACATTTAAGATCATTTTAAGTTCATCAAATATATACTAAGTGAATCATTTAATTAACTGGGAAGAATTGGAAGATGAATTTGGGCAGTCCTAGATATAAGATCCTATTATGAATGACGTTCTTAGTTTCTGTTTGTTTCTCTTTGTAGTAGACTATATTCTTATAGTAGGCTAATCAAATTAATCCTATTTATCCTATTATTGTATTTAACTTATAACCTTATTAGTGATATTTGTACTAGATTCAAATGTATATTCTTAGCTTTCATGCATCACATAAGGTTTTCAATGATACGCTCTTGTAATTGTAGTGGACTTACAAATTTGAAATACTCATAGATGTAACTCATAGATGTAACTTTTTCAAAATATTTTAGCTTATTTCAAGAGCCAATCAAAGTCTCTTGTTTATCCAATATCAATTGATGAAGTTTGTCAGAACTGAGTAGATCCAATTTACATGTAAATGAAATATGCATATTAAATTATGTTATATTAAAAAAATTTACAACAGATATTGGCGGAGCAAAGAATTGCTTTAGACTGCACCTTAAGTGAAGCAATTGCAATTGATACTCGTAACATTAGGTTTTTAACAGATGCTTCATTAGTTTAAAAGGAGTGATGGTTTCCAAACTGGCAAATTCTGTGGGACAGTAAATCTGAACTCGCCATACTACTCTACAAGTAGTACATCCGCACATGGTCACAGTAATAGCGAATTCGAACAAATTTTCAACCACGCAGGAAAACTAGAAACTGAGATATTTATTTCAAAGGAAAGTGTACCAAAGGGTCAATCTTTGGATCTGAAAATAATTTATACACCATTCAGAAGTACGTTGAACACATTTATATAATTTTAACTTATAGGATACTAAGGAGGATACAAAATTATAGATTAATCTTGTTAACTGATCTGCTTATAGAATGTAGCACAGTAAATGAACATCAATTTACATCGGTCGGCCTCAATACCTGTATTCGGAAGGAGTACATCTGCGACGGGATTCACAATTGTGTTAAGAGTATATGCGATGACGAGAGAGATTGTCCACCAGACACGGACGTGCTATCCCGAGAAGATACCACTACCGAGGTCACCGTGGGTGCAGTCACCACGGTGATCCTGTGCTTCATCATCTTTGTCATGTGCTTGTGGATCTGCAAGCGCTCGCAGAAGCTGTGCTGGTCGTCGGATTGCGCCGGACCAAACGTGTGTTCGAGGCCGGGCTCGTTGCCGCCGGACGTTGAGGGTCCGGCTAATCGCGCGGTACCTACCGCTCCCATGCTGGAGGTCGCAGTTTCCTCCCCTGTCGCGGACAAGGACCTGCCGCCCAGTTATGATTCGTTGTTCCCAGAACAAAGTAATCCTGCCAGATCGTAAGTTATTCAATCGTGTTTAGACGTGTCTCAACTTATCAACGCGTCGTCTAATGTTTTAATTAGACGTCGCGTTGTGCACGCGCAGCCAACAACGTGGCCGAACAAGCGTGCATGTCGTACACGACCGCATTTGTCCTCTTCTCAGGCTCCTGCAGTCTTCTGCAAAACAGCACGAAGCAAGGAGTCTGTTGCGAATTGAAGGGTCTTCATGAATCGATGAATGTACGTAACGTCGATCTCGATTATACTAGATTCGGCCGGTGCAATCCTTTAACCTCTCGCAATCGGGACTCGCAGCTCCTCCGCATATTTGATTGTATCATTATATGCATTATTATCATTAACAATGTGTAACGTACTCGTTTGTTTTTTATATATTAGTGAGATTTATATATTAGAGTGAGATTACGAGAAACACATGCGGTTAAGGTTTTGAACTTAGGTGCAGTTTAGTTATAATGTTCTTCTGCCCTTTCGTATAGCTCGTAAGCAGAGCAAAGGGCTTTTCAGAGGTATTGGGAAAGCTTAAATGCATCGGTGCATCCGCTGCGCCCTTTTCCCTTTCTCGCCTTTTTGTATAATTTTATTTATAAACTCGTCATATTCCTAAATTTTTACATCTTATGTTTTGTAATATTTTGTAATAAATATAGAAAGAACTAATATGGATAATATATGAAGATTTTGTTAAGTTATACATCAGAAATCCTGATGACAATCAAGAAACAAGAGCCTAGGAGTGGCTTTTTGATATTCGACGAAACAATCGTAATTTCTTACATCGTAACGATGCAGTATTTTAATTTCCTTAAATATGTTAATTTCTTAACGTGTAGTTGAAAATTGTATTCTACCGGTAGCTGTTATCATTTATATCTCGTATATACACAGTCACGATATATTTACCAAGTTGATAGCGTTAAATCTGATGATTGATATGATGATCTTGATAAAGCAATGGAATTACAATTTGACAAGATTCTCGAATGTATCTTATAGGTGCACATTTGCGAGAGCGATTCTTAAACTCGCTTATATTGAAATATATTTCGAAAAACGACTTGGCATATGCGTCGTGTTTACAATAACTTATATATACGTATATATAAAGTATACAAATTTTATATAACAATATACAAATTCTACAAATGTGTGTGTATATTTTGGAGAACGAATATTGTTCTTTGTGAAAAGTATATATGTAATAATATTGCGTATATATATATATATATATTCATATATTTATATATATTCTGAAAATTTGTGATAATAAAGATCTTTACATACATATACATATGTTTGAAATCAAACACAGGAAGATTTATTCCTCGTTTTCGAGTTCTGCGTCATCATCCTTCTTCAAATGCTCGAGTAACCAGATACAATCGTTGATGATGTGATCGATTTCAGCTGGCCCGCTGGATAACTGATGATTATCATCGTAGACGAGTAGTCTGCAATTGTACCAGTAATTATTTTAGTAAAAACATAATGTGTGTGACAATAAAGTGTCTAATCTACATATTGTGCTTAAGCACAATAAATCTGAATGATTTATTACTTGGTCTTCACGTTGTTGGTCTTAAGACGATGATACCACGACTTTCCACTCGAGCACGGCACTCTCAGATCGCTCGTTCCGATAGAGACCAAGGTCGGTGCCTTAACTTTGTTGACATGAGCAATAGGCGAACATTCTAACATTTTCGTGTACAAAAGGGGATCGGGTTCACCGCCACTTTCTAAAACGTTGCAGGTAATGCCCGTAGTCGCACAGCACCTATAACAGAAAGTTTAATCACATTCATCGTGCAAGTACCAGCTTGACGTTTAGCGACAGCACGTCCATTCGAGTTACTCCTATATAATCCATACGCATATACCTCAATCGAGAGAAAAGCTGTATTTCAGTCAAGATTAAATAAAAAAATGCCTAATGAATTGGATACATTTGAAGTAACAATTAAGCTTACACATCATGAAGACATTTTATTTTCTCATCCTTAGACAGAGCATTGCGACTGAAATACAAATAGGACATTGAATAATTAAGGACGTGAATAGAGCGTAACTAATAAGAGCAAGTGTCTCTTTACCAATCTGGGATATCCGACGTGTGGAACATAAGGGCGATATTGACCACTGGATTTCTTGCGACTACTGCTTTGAACATGTCCTAAGAACGAAAATAGATATTACATATCGATGTCCGCGTAGTAATTGAAAATTAGATTTAGGAACTTGTATAAACTTAATATCTCATTCGCTCACCGGAGCTTGTGCGCTCAAGTGCGTTACTAAGAATCCACCGTGTGATCCACCGCAAAGACCTATACGTTTGGGGTCGAGCCAAGGATACTTCTTCGACGACTCTTCCGCAGCAGTTATACAGTCTTTCACGTCTACATTTCCCACTCTTCCTTCGAGAAACTCCACGGTCGCGGCTCCCATTCCTGTGGAACCTCGGTAATTCACCAGAACTAGCGCGAAACCTAAAGTTCACATAATTCATCAGTAAACGGATAACTTTTTTCTGATCTTGCAGAGAACGATATGTACACTTATTACCTGATGATACCAAGAAAGAGAAATCCAAAGAAAATGTGTTTGCATAATTGCTGTGAGGGCCTCCATGTGGTACGATTATAAAAGGTACTGACTTAGTTTTTCCACTTTTGGGGCCGAAGTAAATAAAGTTGAATTGTTCTGAAAACAAAGAGGAATGTCATTTATTTTATCTTCTTTCGCGGCAAATAGCCGCGAAAGAAAATAACGCCGATAAAAATGTGCAGTTTACTTACTTATTTCGTCATCGTTGTCATAAGTATATTCATTGCCTTCGTACATATACTTATCTAGACCAAGATCTAGTGGTGTTGTAATCACTGTTTTTGGAATATCACCAGTATTCAGTTCAGTATGTTGGAAACAACCTACCATGAGGCATGGAGGTTGTGTTAAAGATGTACTTAAAAATGCAATTGCATTTTCTTTTACATCTAGTATATTAAGGCTGCCACTTTCATTTTGTATCTCAACCATAGTTTTTGTTTCTGTAAATTCAACAAATTCGTTTATATCGTGCAATGAGGATATATTAACGCTATTAAGTTGTTATTAATTCTAATATCTAGCTGCTTACTTATGTTTACAATATATGAGAAAATATTATTCTTCTGAGGAGTACTGAAGAATAAATGTTCGTCATCGCTCCAACAACGATCTGATAAACGACCATATATTCCATAAAACTGCTTGTTTTTTTTAATTGTTTCGCTCGTTTGCACAATATCCACAATTATGCTATTCTATGTACGAAACAATGAAATTTTTCATATCATTAATATACCATATATATATATATCTTCTCTTTGTAATTTAATCCGATTTTTTATATATTACCTTCGTTTCTTTGGATCTTAGATCGCGCAACATAAGTCTTTGAGTGTTATGATGCATATTAGTAACATTTCTCTCTATCCAAACGAGATAATCTCCACTAGGGCTAATTCTAGGGCTATGCACAGCACACTTATCATCAGATAATTTTTCTACACGATAAAAATTACAATTTTTTTTACTATATATACATATAGCATCTGCACATTAATTTTCTAAATGTTCCTTACGAAATTTCCCATCTTTCAATAAAAATATCCACGAAGTTCTATTGGTGCAGGCGACAAGACCTAAGTACCGTGGCTCATGTTTCCAAGCTACACCAATTATATCCTGTTCTTTTGTCCAGATTACTTGAGCAGGAGAAAGATCATCTGGTACTTCAGATAATGTTGTGATTGTTTCTAATATCGTATCAAGAATCACAATAACAGGGCGATGTTTATCTACCAGCTGTTCTCCCCAATGAGGTTTATAGATATATTCATTACCCTGTATAATATAAAACAAACATATATAGAGATATATAGAGATAGATAAAAACATGGTAATCTAAATAAGTAGTAAAGCAGAGCACTTACAGCAATTACTGTTTCATCATCTTTATTGTCCTTCTTGTTCTGAGGTTTTTGCTTATAAAATGGTTCTGTCTTGGGAAGTTTCTTTTCTGCTATGTAAAGAAGTTTAGTACTATCCGGAGACCACTTAAAAGAACTAAATTCATCTGCAGCAAAATGTTTACACAATTAATATAATATATATTTTATAAAACTAAGTCGGTGAAAGTTGTCTTACTGTCTGTATAAACACTGCCATGGACATCCAAAGCTGAGAGATCATAATTTTTCACCATATACTGTTTATCCCAGATTTCTATAAATTCCTTTTTAGAATTGTCAATTGTAACTTGCCGCAAAACAGCTTTAAATTTTTCATCATGTGTCATAGTGGACATGAGCCTAAATTGAGAATAATTTATTTATATTATATATATATATAATATATATATATATATATAATTATTTATCTTATATATATATATATATATATTACTAAATGATAATATATTAAAATTGCATACTCTGTAGTAATATCAACTGGAAAACTAGAGGAAATCTCAGTACAGTCAGATTTAATGATATGATCTATCAGGAAACGTTGATTGTTCTTTGTCTCCAAATTTCTCTGCGTCCATTTGCTTTGTATGATTAAGTTGTTATTTAATGAATTCAGAATTCTTACATTGCTTAAAGATGGAGTAGCAGCTAATGTTGTATATAGCTTCACCAACTTTTCTATCTATAAAATATGTATCTCTTTTATATATTATATATTATTATATATTACAAATTTCTTTGATTCTACCACTTTTTGAAAAGTATCACCTTAAGAAATATTTGTATACCTGTACTAATGCCATTCTGATATTCTCTGTGGAGTTGGTACTTTCCATGTCAAAAACTACAATAACAGGGAGATGTTTTCATGTCAAGAACCACAATAATAGGGCAATGGTTTTAGATGGATTATTTATTTTAAATTAAAACAAATATATATATGTATTAAATGAACCAATGTACAACATATTGCAATAAATACCATTTATATGACTAGTGAACAACAAATGGAATAATTCATATGTTCTTCAACTGATGATACTGCTAGCTAGTTAGCTGACAAATGACATTATTCCCTGGTAGCACATATTGTTGGGCCAATATTGGCTACAAATTGGACCCCCAATATTGGCCGATGTATCCCCAATATAAGTCAATATTGGTATAACAATGCTATGCAATATTGGCGATATATTATAATTTAATGTTTAACCAATATTGGCTGTATATTGGGATACACTGGGTCAATGTAACCCCAATTTATGTCACCATAGCCAATGTAACACCAATGTAACGCCAATGAAGTATGCTACTAGGGTTCATATTTATAATACCGTTATATCGTATGGTTATTGATGGTGCTACTATTTTATAGATATTATGTAGTATTAAAAATTATATATATATTTATAGATAGTTGCTATATAGATAAACATGATATTAATACTTTATACAATTTATAAATTATGGCGAATTGCACGTGTGAAGTATTTATCTGTTGTTCCATATAAAAATAAATATATTCATAGTATAAGATTAAGGTTATGGCTGATAACGTTATAAATATTATTGACATCATATTGTACATACAAGAATTTATAGAAAAATTAAATTAATGAAAGTATTTACCTCTTATTGATTTATATTGCAAGTTCTCTTCGTTTTACAGACTATACGTTTACTACATAGACTACACAGGTTGTTACGAATACACTCGAATACACTCAATGATATTCAATGATGAACTGAGAAATTATCAACTAGTATGATTGCTGAAAAGGGAAAATTCGTGCATGCGCGTTAAGCCCTGGTCTACAATAGGTGATTTAAGTTTTAAGTTATAAGAAGTTAACCAATTACAGTTGAATGTGTGGAAAATAATCGACTGCCATTGGTTAATTTCTTATCGCTTAAAGCTTAACATATTCATTGCCATTCACGCGATGTCGCGTGATCGCTATAACGAGTCGCTAACGAGTTTCTATGCGGGATAGAATAGGCGAAACGGCGCGTGATGTTTACATACATAGGCCACTGGGGAAGGGATCGAACTCTCGTGGAGGGGGGATGGCCTCCAGCCATCGTCTGTTGAAAAAAAAAGAAAAAATAACTTTGGCCACCACACGAAATTCAAATTTTCAGTTTGGCAATGAACGTATTAAATTACCTATTGTAGACCAGGGTTAATGCAAGACTCAGCAAATTCTGTTGAGCCGCCAAAGTTTTTTGTTTGCCTCCCCGAACGCAGCTAGTAAGTGCGTTCGAAAAGCGCACCAATTGCATTCAGCTTTGATGACTAAATTAATATAAAAAATATCGACTTGTCTTTTACCTTAGAAATTATTTCTTCGTCTTTTTATTTTATGTTATCACATTTTATTTATGTTATTAACATTTTCAAAGTTGTAATCATGTTTCTTCATCCATCCATTTAGAATTCAAAAATCGAATTCGCAAATACATCTTTGTTTGCCCGCGAAAATTTAAGTTATCTCTTGGAACATGAGCTTGGAAACATGAGCCACGGTACTTAGGTCTTGTCGCCTGCACCAATAGAACTTCGTGGATATTTTTATTGAAAGATGGGAAATTTCGTAAGGAACATTTAGAAAATTAATGTGCAGATGCTATATGTATATATAGTAATCTATTATAATTAGTTGTGTTTAGAAAACACAACGCTAAAATATAAGCGAACCAAATTTATTATCATTCGAAAATTCGACTATACTTCTGTAAAAAAAATTGATGTCTTTACCATTATATAGCATATTATTCTAAATTACTTTAATAAACTTTATTAAATTAATTTACTTATTATTTTATTAATTGCTTTATTTATCTTTACTATCATTATCGTACAGAAAGAAAGAACTACTGTTATGTATTGAATATTTAGATATCTCTGTTGATTTTCTTTACATTCTTCTTCAATTGTCTCTCAGCCTTTCTAGGTTTTTTACTGCGGTCACAAAAATTTCTCTCTTTCTCTCTCTCTCTCTCTCTCTCTCTCTCTCTCTCTCTCTCTCTGTCTCTCTCTCTCTCTCTCTCTCTTTCAATATTGGCTCCAGGCGCTTATTAAAGCGAATTCCCAAACGACGTTGTACGATAAATTAAGATAATCAGATATTAGAATGTTAAAGCAAAGCAATGGTGAAGTGTAGTAAAAACAGGGACTACGTGTACGCAGTCCCAATAGTCAAAAATTACGTGTAGTGACAAAAACCACATCAAATGGCTTCGGAGGCCAACAAAAAAGACTCTACAAAAATTTATTTGAAAACTTAACAGTCTATCAAATGACAGCAAATTATAAATATTGTAATTTTATTTTAAAAATATCAAATTTAAAATTAAAAATATCTAATGAATGTTATATATGCACATTATGTAGAAGTCATCCCTAATAGCACAGATGTCCAGAGAACGTTCCCAGGAGAACATGTGTTATCAGGGATATTAGGTAATATTCTACGAACTTTTAAAACGCACTATCATGTTTGAATAATAAGACATTTTATACAAATTTATGTATCTCACGACATGCATGTTATATTTAAAACGCACTATCATGTTTGAATAATAAAACATATTATACAAATTTATGTATCTCATGACATGCATGTTATATTTATATGTTTAAATATTGAAAGGCGAAGAAGAAGGATATATTATAGGGAACGAAAAAAACTTTTGCGTGTAAATATTATATCAGTTATTTGCTTCACTTTACATTACTTAGTCGGTTTCTTTTCTGTCAACGACGATAGCACGATGTAATTTCTATATCACAATATCAATATAACGCCGGTATAATCATTTCACTCTCTAATCAAATCTGTAAGAAATCGACGCAACAAAATAAAGAGTCTATATTTACAGTCTATAGCTTATAAATCTATGCGCTTCCTAAAATAGATGTCCGAAATTTTCTAATATTATGTACAAAGTTCCATCTGAAATATCATATGTATCTCATAAGCAATACATTGTATGTCATATAAGCGATAAAATATATGATAATAATATAATAATAAATATAACAATGTATAATATATATGAAGTTCATTAAAATAGAAAAATGAAAGTTCCTTCGGATTACGACGGAATTCGAATTTGTTTAACATTTTTAGTATTTTTATATTTTTCGCTTTATTTAATGCAGAAATAACGACCCGATAAACAAGGAATATTAATCAGTCTCTTGTCAGTCAAGCATAGTAAAATATTTGTTAGAATTATATGAATGAAACACAAAACATTGTAATGGTAACAAATCGTTGGGCAAATATTCAATATTTTGTTGTTAAAAATAAGCAAAGATATTTACAACATACAATTGCATACATACGACCTACATACGTATCTCTTATGCTATACACCGTATTAGAAACATATATTTAGTGTGTGCGTCAGTTAACGCGATAAAATCAATGTTAACGCAATCGAGAAATAATCATCGTAATTAAAATTAAAGTACATACGCCAGCGAAGTAAATTTCACGCTACCGGAAAGAGATCGAGAGTCTTCAAGATCATCCCCTGGAATAATGCAATATCGATTCTTATATTCAATCTTCTTTTTAATCCATCGTTTCTTAATTCTCTCTTCGACTAAACTGTAGGAAAGAATATAATCTACCAACAGTCCTTTAATGGTCACAACAAGAAGGATCAATTCTTCAAGGTTAACGTCTTCGGATTTCATCGGAGTTTACATCTCCGTCAATATATTTATATCTATGTTAAACAACAATTTACGCAAGATTACTAAATCACGCTCTCTGAATCTCAAATTTCGCTCTTACGATTGTTAGGTCCGTTGACAACTTTAACAGTAATACCGTAGCTAAAACTGCAGATACAACAATCTAGAGTTTGCGCTTAATTGTTTTATGCACGAAGGTTGCAGTGCATCATAAAGTAAGAACTTTGTGTCAGATTTGAAATTGTCTCCGTAGAATAGACATACATCGAACAACTAGTCATCAATAACATTCAAAATATCTCCGACTTTTCTACACAAAGTTTTCACGTGTATATATCTGAATCAGAAACTTTCCACAATAACGTGATACGAATGTGACAATCGCCATGTAGCATAAAAAAATATAGAATTAAAATAGCGCCTCTCCGAAAAAAACTCACTATCTATCTCCTTATCGTCATTTATTCATAGACGTGACATGTTAACGCGCCCGAAGCACGATATTGAAAACATTCTATTCCTGTCTCCGGAGCAGGGATCAAAAGCGTTTTACGTTTTACGGTTTCGTCAAGTTTATGTCTCGATATTAAAATGCAAGAGAAAACGGGACTTGTTGTAATTATACCACGGTGCTTCGATCCGTGCTCCGGCAGTTCGACGAACAATCACCGTCGTGAGCGTGCCGCGATTTCACGTCGCTCCGGAGCGCGCACTTAAATTCTTTATAGAGTCGCACTCGTCGGCGATGCTCGATATCGCGACCGCTCGCTCTGCTTCGAGAGCATCGGGGGATATAAACCTAACGATCTAGACGGCGATTCTACGTCGTAGTTTCTAACAACGACTCGAGGTGCTGGTTGCTGCTTTCGCGTGTTCCTTCGTCGCTTAATTATTGCCGAAGAGAGCAGCTTTCTGCCGGAATTGCTCCCGCCTCGCCGCTTTTTCCTCCTCCTCTCGCTTTCGCTCCTCCTGCTCCATGCGAATTTCGTCCTCGAATTTCGACGCCTTTCGAAGCTGTTCGATCTGCAAAAGCAAAAAGAAAAACAGGATAGATCAAGAATGCGTTAATCGAAGCGCGCACCAAGTACAACTCGGTCGGGTTACGCTCTCGCGCGTACATTTTTTTCAGCTCGTGACACGCTAAAGTAACTTTCTGGGCCTGGCATGTGTCATTTACGTCCGTGCGCATAGGAAGCCGCGTGTGTTGTGTCCGGGATCTCCTGTGTGATTGTACGGCTGAGCAGGATTTGATAAGGGACTATATTATTTTCCTCGTCGCTGAGAGCCCACTAATCTCGACAATTTTTTACAGCAGTAGAAATTATCTTAAAAACGATAATCACGAACGATTAGAAGAAATCTCTGAAAAAATTTTCGGAGTCTCCCGAATATCGGACAAAATTTTATTACATTTGTACACAAAATAACATCTCAGTTCGTGTCACTGAACAAGGAGCAGACGAGAACTCAACGACGAGAGACGAGATCTCTGTGTTACACCGCGAACGAAAACATTCATCTAAACGTTCGATTGCTTCGAAACACGGTCGAGATAACTGAGAACAATTGACTAAACATAAAGGAATGTCCCCCGACAAAAAAATCTTCCTCTTCCTTACGATTCTTTTAAAGCTCTCATCCGGTTCCCAGATAATGGAAAACCGAAATTATACATATTTCGGCTGACCGGAAGAGAATTTCAAAATGCCTGCGAACTAAATTCAGCTCGATGAATCAGAGATTTAACTTCCTCCGGCGGAAACACAGTCAGTTCATCCTCACACTAATTCCACCATTCTTTTTCCTCATGAACTGAAAAACATTAGCAGGAAAAGCAGGAGCCTCTTCGGCGAGAGGAATCTCGTTATCGAGGAGGATGATGGAATGTGGAAATACATACCTTGGCCTCGAAAAAGTGTTTAGCACCGGTAACTCCGACCTCATCGACGTCGACTTCGGTGAGTCTGGCCAGCTGGCTCAATCCGGAATCCCGTTCTAACTCACCAGCGCGCGCCTTGCGATAGATCAGCAGAAACTGTAACAAGGTGTTACCACGTATTGAGCGGCAATCAGAATTATGGTGGCACGGGCAAACTTTCGAGAGAACGGCCAACCGCGGAGGATCACGTCTCACTACTATTGGCGAGCAACTTTGCGTGAGATCTTCCGTAGGACACGCGCGAAATTTTTGCCAACACTCAAGCGGAACAACCGGAAGAGAGAATCCAGAGTTCCTGTGGCTTCTCCGCAGCTCGCGTCATTTTCGTGTCACGCTACTTCGCGCGGCATTTTTATCGCCGCCGAATCGAGGGAGCGCGATTGCGCGCTTGATAAGAGACGACGGAGTGATTCTCATTAAACGGTGCAAAGCCGCGATTCGCGGCCGAGAGGGGCGACATGCGTGTCACAAGGGTTTTACGGTAATTCATAACGGACGATGAGTAAGAGGAAGGTGAGTAAGCCGAGCGCTGCCGCTACTCCCGCGCGCGCGCGCGCGTATCGCGCAATGAATCACACATTCGCGCCCAACGCGAGCCGCATATTCGAAGCCGGGATCGAATCGCGACCTGTGCGCGCTTTGTTTGCGAAACGCGGAATGTCACGCGCGATTGTTGTCCGCGCTTCGCATTTCGCATGGGCGCCGCGCGCGCTTTTCCTTCGGGAGCACCTTCTCGGCTTACAGCTTACGTTGGCTCGCGTTGCGCGGAGGTTGCGTTAACAGCGAAAGTTTCTGCCGGCGTTTCGCGTGCTCTGCATTCAGCGGGCGTGTTGCAAAATCGGTTAGGCGCAATTGATTCCGCGTGCGGGCGTTACCGCGGTCTCTCCCGTCGCGTCGAAACGCAAACACCTTCCCTGCGGTTCGCAAGATCCGGGAAAACGAAATCGAGACCGAGCGTCGTGCATTCGTGGCGATAATTCGTGGCGTCCCCTCCCAGGAAATGCGAGAGAATTCTCTTTCTCTTCGGATACGTTAGTAATTCTATCTTCAATTCATCCGTTTAATTTACTTTTCCTCTCTTTTTTTCTTTTCCTTTTTTACGGAGTCTCCGGCAAATCGTGTCTCGACACGATGGATATCAGGCTGTCTTTCTGCATATTTTGCAGCCGCAGGATATTTAACATCGAAAATCGAGCGGTCGGCCTTAATTGGAATTTTTCCGGGGGCGAGCTCGCGCGATTTTTTCCCACGGCGAGTTTCCCACTTTCGCGCGTCTCTCACACTGACGCGGCTAGTTTTTCGATAGTTTTTAAAACGCATCATCGCGCGAGTAAGTGACCGAAATAGAAGCACTCCAACGCCCTCCCTATACCCTCCCCGACGCACACACCCGGCCGCATGTGCCTCGGGAGAATAAACACGATCGTCGAATGTGTATGCCTAGCGGAGGAGTACGTTAAACATTGCATGGGGTCTACTATTTTTACGTATGGCGTATCGTACGTGCACGCGCGCCACAAATGATGAACCTCCGTGTCTCACGGAAGTTCTCTCAGTCGAGCCTGCGAGGGAAGAAAAGGAGTTTACGAGGTGCGGAGGAACGGAAGAGCTTAGGGACGCGGTTCCGGTGCGCGAAGTTCGCGCGAAAGATCCGGAATAATTTTCTCCCTCTGCCTCGCGAGGGCACGCGAACGCGAATTTCAGCGAGCGGAAACGGTTGTCGGGAATGCCATCGATTCTGCCTTTAATCTGCCGTTAAAATTAGACTCGCCGCGAAATTAAAATTCCTCTCCGGAACCGGCGCGCACGTGCGCGGCTTGCGCGACGGAGCGCACGCAGCGAAGTCTATTTCGGCTCTCGATACTTTTAACGACCGCAAGCGCGGACTTGCGAAACGCACTATCGTCGGTCAGGGTGGCCGCAGAGACCGGCGGTTATGTTTACACCGGCCATTCGGGAGCCTAACCGAGCGCGTTAACCGACCGCGGCACGCTTTCCCAAGCGAGTTCGCGGTAAAACGCATTTTCCTCCTCGCAGCTCGACTTAACGAAATTGAACTCGAGGTGCGAGTTATATTTCCTCCGGCTGCGGCGATTCTCGTCGAATGACGCCGCGGATATTCGTTTTCGCGAGAACGAGACTGATTTGAATTTATCAACACGCCGACTGTCACGCTGATTTCCACCGATTGTTTCAACGCTCGGCCCGAATTGGAATCATCAAAGATGCGGCGAATAAATGCAATTCGCGGTGCATATGCTCGTTAGCTCATTTCATCGGCTCGCATCGGCTACATGTCAAACTTGTTGTACGCGTTTTGCATGTCAATTATTAACGAGCAATGTTACAATGCCGCTATGTTACAAACAGCAACTGTGAATTCTCTTTATAAAGTAAACGTATCGAATTGTGCCATTTTAAGCAGAGATCAATTTTTGAGAGTTTACTTTTACGAAAGTAAAATGATGTTAGAGAAAGATAAGACTATAAATCTTATTAAAAGTTATTATTGTAAATTAGCAAAAGTACATATACAAATTAGAAATAAGATTATTTATTTATATAGAAGAATTAAGTGTGAACTGCAAATGTCCCGAATTACGCCCATTAAAATTGTAGGTCCTAATTCACGCCACTCTACATTATATTATATTATATTATATAAACTCTCTCCTAAACCGTTCAATTCTTTTTCAAAAAGCTCAAAATGATCACTAAGTGATGGACAGAGCTAATCTCTGCTTCGTTCGTTATTTCGGAATCTTGATGCGCTCTTTTTTTCGATGATAGTAAAATATACCCACCTCACGAAAAGATATGCGGCCGTCCCCGTCCTCGTCGATCTCCTGGATCATCGCCTTGAGACCGAGATGTGTTTGCGGTGCACCTAAGACTTCCATCATCCGCTTCAGTTCGGCGAGATCAAGGTAACCGTCACGGCCATCGTCGAATCTGCAATCGACGTCAATGATTATCATCGGCGAATTGAGAGAAACAATTCGTCGCACCGAGTGAAGTCTGGAAGCAATTGTTCTCGTCACCGGAGATGCGGCAATTATAATATATATTTCCTTGTAAAAGTTCGTAAAGTAAAAGAGAGTCCAAACGCTGAACAAAAATCCGAAGCTGAGAGACAACAAAGTTGGATTTGTAAGAGAGTAAACCTTGCTCCTTCCGATTTCCTCAGAGTCGACTTAATTTTCATGATGATACGTGATAATCCAACTGATTCTTAAGAAATGTAAAGATCGGGAAACACATCAATGTTTAAATAAGAGCATATACGTCATCGCTAAAATAACGTCGATTTGAAAGGAAGTTCAATATCGTTTGGAACGAGACAGACTTCGAACTGTAAAAATTGCTCGAGGTTGAGAGTATTAATATTGTCGACCTGATCGAGACGCGGGAGATCATTTGAATTAATACGATAAAATCTAGTCCTTCCCGCTAACTGACGAGAATCTTAACGCGACCTTCTTTCGTCACTCGACGAAATGGTATCTTTCAGCGCGCGATTGACCCGTCCATAAATCATCGCGATGACGCCGCTCGGTCAATGAGACGTCCGACCAAACGTGTCGCACACACGTCGCTTCTGTTTAATCGCGACATCGCACGCAATCTAATCGGCGTATATTGAGCACGGCGTTGCGAAAGCACGACCAAGAAGAATATTCGGGTCATTCAATGTCATTATTGGCGGAGGACGAGGCACGATTATCGTACGAATTATCCTGTCGTCGTGGAAGTCGGCGGAGCGGAGTCGCTCCACCTCGGTCGCCGCGAAAATAGCCCGACCGTTCGATTCGTTTCGCGATACGCAAGAAAAGTCGAGAGCTACGACGACGATGACGAGGACGACGGCGACGGGGAATGGCACAAGTTTTCGCGCGGCCCTTTCCGTGGCTCGGTAAACAACCGTGGTTGGAATTCGCGAAGATACGACACGCTGTAAACAGCGACCGCTGAAACTGAGTCGTGAGGGAAATGAAACTTTTTTCCGCGGCGGTTTAATCCGAAATTGCGAGGAAAGGGGAAGAAAGTCCCGCGCGCAATCGATGATGCACGCGAGACGCGAGTAAATTCAGCCAAGCCAAGTCGACGACGGCGTCTGCGTCCGTGTCGAAAAAAGATAGACACGTTCGGGGTTTTTTTTTATCAGACTTTAATCGTGGAGAAATCGGTTGGATTTACCTGAGTTGAGTGACCGTTCGATTAATTCGTACGTAACCAAAGTACGTCGCCAGGTGCGAAAGGCTTGTTGTCTCTTAACTCAGCCGTCATTAACATTCGCGACTTTCCTCGAGGCTGACGGCCGCGACGTAAGGTGGGACATTTCGTATTAACTAGAACGTTCTCGTAGAAAGCGAACAGACTGCGAACTGCCGGCTCGGCGCACAGTGGGGCCGGATGACATGTTTTGGTTCAAAATTTTCTAGAGACCTGAATTTCCAACCGATCCAACCGATCCAACCGATCGCCACTAATACAATAGTAATATATATAATAATAATAGATGAGGTTGATCCTGAATAAATTCCAAAGAGATATGTCTAGCCGAAATTTTGAAAAAATTATCGGTTCAGGGTTCATGGGTTTAGGGTTTGTCTTAAAAGTTTCGTTTAAAGTACAGTGTCTTGGGTTTGACCTCAATGAGTTCGAGCCTATAGATACTAAATGCGAGACCCCAGAACTTGTAATCACCTTTTAGAATCATCTTTCTTGGACTATTTGGGGCTCTTAATATATATGGCTTCATGCATCTATGAGCTGAAAGGTTCTCGGATTGATAGATTCCTAGGTTGATGAGTTTAAGACTCAAAATTCCTCGGTTTTGTGCTTAACGGGTCTATATTTGTATTTGATGTTTTTGTATTTTGGGCATATGAGTTCTGGGTTAATGGGTTTCTGGCTCAAGATCGATAAATCTCGAGGTGTCTGTTGATTGGTTTTATATTTTCAATCCGCTGAATATGCTATTAGATAGAAATAAGTGTCGAATAATGAGTATTTCACAAGTTTCTCGCGTTTAACGATAATTTTTCTTCTTTTGGGGTTAGTAATTCGAGAAAAAAATTGCTTTTTTAATTTTGGTAAGACAGATCTCTTCGGAATTTATTCAGGATCAACCTCATCCATTGGTGTCGATGATAGGTTGGAAATTCAGGTCTCTAGAGAATTTTGAACCAAAGAATGTCATCCGGCCCCACTGTGCGGCGCCGGAGGACATTCGCATTTTTCGACTCGCGATTTTTCGCGCGACGAAATCTTCATTTTCAGCGACTTGCCGATTTTTTGCTCCCCACTTCCTTTCTTTTCAGAATTTCCGCAGTTGCGACCATCGCGAGCGTCGGCGTCGTGAAAAACTTCGGGTCGGGAGAATAACAGCGCGTTGTAACGAGGGCGCAGCCCTCGTTGGAATTGTATCACACGCTCGCGCCGTGAGGGC